AAGTTTCTTTTCTGATCAATGAACTGTGCTGTGAGACTGAGAGTGATCAGGTTGGGACCAGCACCTTTAACTCAAAATGCTACCAAAATGTACTGTACTCCAACAACGTTGCTTGTGCTACAATTATCAAGAGAAAGTTGAACACGATTCTGAACAGAGAGGAAAGGAGAAGAGCAGGACAAGCAAGGGAGAGATGGCAGGAATGCCCTAAATTAAGTCATAACAGCACAAATTATAATGTCCCAGTTACATCCAGTATTTGATTTTATATTCCCAAGCATACATTAGAACCAATGCAGGACAGACTGGGGCTACCTTAGGAAGGCCGCTCTGGCTGAGGTCTGGAAGCCTAACTTCTGGAAGATACCTTTCACCACCACTGGTGACCAGTAGCAGCAGAAACTGCTCCTGGCACATGCCCCGCATGTGAGGACTGTTCTGCTCACATACAGCACTGTGTCAAAGGAGAGTTGCTACAGCAAATCCAACCACTTACACACTGAGCAGAGATTTATTTGTAAGACCTTAAAATATTTCTAATATCATTTTACTGTTTATTATAATTACTACAATTACTGGGATATACAGTGATTACATGCATTTTACCATACCTCCATTAGCCTACTGTACTGCAGACATATTTGTACAGCCAGAGTGCCAAATGTTGCATTTAACAGAGCAGGCTCTTAAGTTTCCAAAGCAGCTCAACCTCTGGCCTCAGTTTAAGCAACCAAGCAGCGCGCCTGGGTCAGCTCTGGGGTGGCTTTGGTAATCACTAATGCAAACCCTCCACAAAGTGCCCTGAACGAACAAACTCATTTCACATGTTGGAAGCCACTGAACAACTGAAAAAATACTTTAACAAAGTAACTGCTGAAAAGTTGCCGAAAGTAAAAGCAGAGTGGGGAGGAGGGAAGACCCCTCCTGGTTTCAATGAAAAAAAAACTTTAGGCCTGACTACTGTAGTTAAATTAAATCTATTTGCTTTTTACACAGTTTGAATAGATGCTTTTTAATTATTGCTAATTGTTTAAGATATTGTTGTATGCCCCTGAAGATTTAAACTGAATAAATTTAATTCCTTTAAAATCTCCTTCAGCTACAGGCAATACAGTAAGAAGCCCCATAGGTATGGCAGTAAAAATAACCATAAAGACATAAGCATTTAAATGAGGAGAGCATGGAATACTTCCCACTAGACCAAAAAAAAAAAAAAAAAAAAAAAGATGAGAATTAAAAGAAGACAGGAAAAGGAAGGATGACTTAGACAGGATCAGCTAATCTAATAATATATATCAAGTATATATTTTACCTTTTCTTTAAAAAAAAATAGGCTGAAGAATTTGGGAGAGTATCACCATCAGTCTGAGAATTACCTTACAAGAAGATCCTTTTGATCCATTTGCCTATGATGAGAGAATTCATAACAAAACTCAGCCAACAGGCTACAAAAATTGTTCTAGAAGCTGTAAATCAGGTGCAACAATGTACATACTGTGGTCCAAAAAAAAAAAAAAAAAAAAAAAGAGAGAGAGAAAGAAAAGAAAAGAAAAGAAAGAAAGAAAGAAAAAAGCTATGTGTTTTGGAGACACAAGAACCAAACCATGAAACACACAGTTGAAACATTTAGGATGACTATGAAAAAGGTCTATGTTCACTTGTTAAGGAATGCGCTAAGGCAGACTAAAGCATATGAATGGCCCTTTCACAGGTCACAGATTCTATTCAGTTCTTGGACATTGTTATTATCCGACAGAAATAGATGGGCCTAATTAATATTCTGAACATACCTGAGAGAACATTCTTAAGGAAATCATCCTCTGGTGGTTTAGGTTTGTTGTGTTTTGGGGGTTTTGTTTTTTTGTTGGGGTTCTTGGGTGCTCTGTGCTTTTTGGTTTTGTTTTTAACAAACAGCAGATGTTACAAATAGCATCTGGTTAATAAACTATAAACATAATTTTGGTGTTAAAAGTTTAATAAAGAGTCTACTTCTGAATATATTTGTTTATGCAAAGACTTGATTTTTTTTTTTATTTTTAATTTTAGTAAACAGTTTTACCATGTAGATTAAAGCTGAACTGCACAGTCATTTTGCAAGTAATTATATTCTTGGCACTTTTCTGAACATAATATAACAATTACCACAGCAACTGCATTTTTATCAGAGCACTCCAAGCATGCAGCAGGTTAATATCAGTGTTCAGCAACTTCAGATAATATTTCTGAGATGCTAATGTTTAGCCAATTTCAAATGAGCAAACAGCTTCTGATACGAACTGAGTTCTGGTCTTTCAAGATAATGTGGTTAAATGGGCCCCGATCTTATATATAGTTGGGGTACTGTTCCCCCTGCAAAATCCTGTTAAACTTGGTGGGAGTCTGTGCAAGCAAATCCAAACACAGGGCCAGCTTCACGGCAAGAATGATGGACTGTGATTACAAAGTTAACTTTCCAAGGGGTATAATGCACTGCACGACTGGGTTAGGATCTCGGCTCTGCCACTGCCTGATATTGGACGAGCCTTCCTCTCGTACAGCTTGCCCATTTACATTGTGACCTTTGGAAAGCGTGAGCTATCACTGAGTATCTGCCTGATACTGCCCTAAAATGATGTTATTAATCTAATCTCCACTGGATTTTAAAGATACGCAGTTTAGTTTCAGTTATATGACTCCTGCTGAGCAATCTCAAAAAGAATAACCTCATTTTTTGAGGCTCGGTTCCCCTCACTGCTGACCCTTGTGGGAGTTTTGCTGCTGACTTTGCAGAGAGCAGAAGCGGGCCCAGAAAACATATAATCACCCGAAGTCATCCGAGCTGCATCACTGCATTTTGAATTCAGGACACCGCTTCAATACAGCGACTTGTTGTTCTCATCTTAAATGTCTGGATGGCATACAAATATAGATAAAAGTAGATGACTAATTATCACATCTATTCTCAAGGCATGCATGGAGGGAGGCAGTAAAGAGGAGGGGAAGTTTGTGGGTTACTCCCACACATAAATCCTCTATGTGTCAGTGGGTGAATAGACACTACTTTAATCTATTGTGCAACGCTGTTTTATAACAACAATAAGCTGAAACAGAGAAGGAACTGTATTAGAAAGGCAAATATCAAAATACATCAATACTAAAATGCCTTCAGGTAATCAAGTAATTCAGTCCCATAGTACACCGAGAAACAGGAGTCAAGTATTTGTACTGAAACCTTAATATGGCATATGTGGAAAAAAAAATCCCATTGAAATAAATAGACCTATTCATTTCAGAGACAGTGAAAAAGAGACGAACTTTCTTTGTCTTGCCACTTTAGAGCCCCTTGATAGCATTTTCCTTTTTTATTGTCTTTTAGATATAGATGCCCCTCTGCTTAAGTATCACCAAAGCTACTAGTAACAAATACCTAAATATATAACAGATGCATAAGTGCATCTTGGGATAAATACATTATGGACAATTAACTGTCATCATACCCCTCAATTACATTTTCACCCGCTCCTGTAGTGTACACCTGTGGCTTGTTAGTAATGCAATAAGTGTTGTAAAGCAACTCTAAGGTTCAAAGGTAGCTCTGCAAAAATCTGTTTTCCTCTTTTCTTAAATGTGCATTACATAAATGTGAAAACAGAGAAACAAACACAAGAAAAAAGAACGCTACCTTTTCTCTTACCAGCTGGCAATGTGGATCAAGCGAAAATTTTTCATTTTCCTGTTACGTCACATAGCAAAGACCGTTTGCATGAAATATTGGGCCTGACTCTGATTTCAGTAATGTAGAAATTAAGCCAAAGAAGCAGCAACTGAAATTCACTTGGGCACACTTTGTAACATTACTTTCATGCCATGTATCTCAACTGTGAGGGGATGATATAATAATCACAAACACTATTTGAGAAACTTTTGTAGTGCACATCATTTTTAGTCAAAAGTAAAACAACTTTTTAGAAGCACAACTAAAACTGATACATATCAAGGCTACTGTATAATTAAGTCTGCAGCTTTGGAAAATGGATATTTGTATAAGTTAAAGCAGCTATTGGATATCCTTACTATAATCACACTTAAATCCATAATAGTTCCTGGAAGGATTATTTGTTATTAAATATGTGAGTGGCATAATTCAGTAAGCTCTGTATATGACATTGATGGAGTGCCTGTAAAGAAAAATATTAAGCAAAAATATACTGTACAAATGGTCTTATAATTGTAGCTAGAGGCAAATCCAGCACAGATAGATCCCTCTTGGTTAATATCCCAATAGCATTAACACACTTGTGTTACTGCTATGTTTGTTTATGTATTAGTTGGATACTGTCAACATTAAGATTTTTTTATACCTATGCTGCACTTTTCCAACCTTAGTTACTACCTCCTTCTGTGAGTACCTCTGAATGACTGCACTCCTTGTTCAGGGAGAGAAACATAGACCATCAGAAGCTTTCCTGAGCTTCAGGATGAATGGTCGGCTGATTTTTGCAAAGGTGACATTGACTGCTCCACCAACTTCCACGCATCGCTTTGCCAACATACAGGGAAGCCCCCCAGCATCTCTCATGCTGCAGTCCAGATGACCCACTCTCCATGAGGAGAAGTGCCCCAGCTGGGATACCCGTCCCCTCCTGCTCCCCCTGTTGCAGGCTCACCTTGCCCCCACCACTGCCATCCCTTCTGGATGGTGCATCCAGCAAATCCCACACTCAGGAATGGTCTACTGAGCAAAGCTACTCTCGCACAATTACCTCATTGACCAGGAAAAGGATATACCATCATTCTTTCTAGTTCAAGACTTTCTGCATAGACAGGACATAAGTGGTCATACCTCTGGTACAGATCCAAGACAAACCATTAGGACTTTCCAGCTACTTTGTCACCGCTTTCTGTCTGACCTTGGTACTGATGGGTTGAATCAGCTGTGTAAAGCTAATCTAACTCCTAGAGAGGCATTTTTTGTTGGCTCAGGGACAGTGAGATGTTTACCTGCTCACCAATAAATTTCCGCAGAGGTTCTTTCTTGCCAGCTGACACTTCTACAGTTTTTGGCAGCTTCTTTTAATTGTGTTGTTTGTTCTCTTCTTTTCTTTCAATTGGTCTGTGAAGACAAGTCAAAGGACAGGACATTGAGGTATTCACAGATAACATTCAGGAGCTGCATTTTGTTCTATGTCCTGAGGGACTTACCTGGGAGACACTGAGAGTCTGGATGTTGGCCTGCACAATTAATGGAAAATATTACAGGTGTTTATTTATAGGTGAGAATCGAATATGTCTGGCTTGACCAACAGTGACTCAGGGATTGTTAAACGGCAAGAATTTAACTTGTTCAATCAGTCCTGTGAGAAACTGGGTTAGCTGACTAAATGCGAACAGTCACTGGGCAGCCAACATCAACCGTGATGAGTTATATCATCTTACTTTACTAAATCCATCGTCTCCAAAGAATTTAATCACAGCTGGATGACACAAAGCCAAATATAAATTGCCTTGCTTAGCAATGACTGTCAGCTAATTTACCTTTTTGCAACCACATATGAACAAAATATCATAGCAGACCCTAAGTGGGTTGAAGAAAGCCGAAAAGATGAGACCCAAACACAAATATTTGAAAAATGTTAGCACTAGCTACGGGGAAAATAATTGGTAGAAAAAGGAAAGGAAATAATTGTTAAATTCAGGAAACCTTTCTGATATGTGCTGTATGCACATGCTCTGATGTTTAGATGCCTGACTGCATTTGTAAAAAACCAAGGGAGGACCAAAGAGCAGAAAAATGCCTTCCAAGAAATAATCCTGCATGATTCAGGAACTGGACTGGGCAATCTAATAGGACACTTTCATTTCTAGCAATTTTTCCCTTGAAAGGGTTTTACTACTTTTGCTAAAAACTGGCTCCATTAAAAAAAAAAAAAAAAGTCTGTCCTTCCTGTCTAAGGTCTTTTAAAAAAATATTATTATAAGAAAAATTAACAAAAAGCATCCAATTAAAAAAAAATGTCTTCAGACATTGAACTGCAGTATCTGAATTGCAATACTTTAGGATTCTGACTTTAATGATGACAGGAAACACCCTAATGTCTATTGTCTAAGCATTTCTATTGACTAGCCAGGGCAAAATTAGTATCAGTAGCATTTACATTGTTCTATAAATGGCCTGAGCAAAATCTCATAACATATCTGCAGTGTGGTCGGAACTCATCTGCTGTTTGCACTTCCTACTTTGCAGATGAGACAGTCTCAAAAGACAGGGTAGGCTGAAGACTGGTTGGACAACTCTATAAGTGAAATCTCAAGACTCTTGTCATTCTAGCTGTCTAAATTACTTAAACAGGACTCAGAGGGATTTAAAGGGGAGAAACGACATGACAAACAATTATATTCTAACACACTATTTATAACAATGCCCTTTCAGATTATTGTTCCACTCAGACTGACACATTACTGTAATCCCAGGGATGAATCAAGGGACTTAGAGTTAGATCACGCACAGCTTGTAGGCATAAAAAAAATACGAATAAAGAACTGACATTCAGGAAATATAGAGCGACTCAAGGATAAATTCTGCTGGGATGAGCTTAATTTATCAATGTCAATAACAACGGTGAACACATCGCAAGAATACATGCATATTAATTGAAAATAACTCAGATTAAATCACTGCAGTTTGACATTTTGAGATAGGCACTTTATCTTTTCAAGAAAGAGAGCACTATAAAATCTTTAATCTGAAAACACATCTTAATTGCATGTTATCACCTCCTAATTGCTTCTATATTATATTAAACATTTTGCTAATTACTAGCCTGATCATGGTGTAAATAGCTTGAGGCTAGAGCTCATAACCAGCTGAAGACAACTGGGCACAATGAGGGCCACAAAGAAGTTTATCACTTCGGTGTATTATCGCGGACTTCCATCATTATCAGTGTCTATCACTCTTTATCTCTGCTTCCCTTGTGAGATAAAGAAGTGAGGCAATAATGTAGATCAGAGGTTGGGTTGCATTTCAGTTAATCCATCTATTTCTAGCTCTAGATTTCTAATATTCCCTGGGGACAAAAGTTGTCTGCCTACTGCTGTCACTAATCTACTGCTTGAAGACTGAGGCCAGAATGCTATTTGCTCTACCACAAGGCTGGGTAATGGAGGTGCTCCTGGACAGCTGGAAGCGCGCGCGCTGCATCCGAAACCAAAGGACATGGATGAAATGCGTTGCTGTGAGCAATCTACCCACTTAGCTCCGGACCCTGAGTAATACACAGATGACACACAGGGAGTGTCTGAGGCAGCAGCTTGTGAATTCATCAGGAAAGAAAATTATTTATGTATAGGCAATAAAAATGCTCATGCACAACTGCCAGGTGACCCAGCAATGCAGGCAGCTGTCTGAGCAGCAACTAATAATTTAGGTAATCATTTAGACAATTACTGTTACCTGAAATAAGCCAACCAAACCAGCATTTTCAGGGTTTGGGTTTTTGGGGGGGCTTTGGGGTTTTTTTTTTTTTTGGAAAGAAAAACAATTTTATCCAACATCACAGTCAGGAATTAAGTGACTTTGTGGGCTCCAAACTGCAAGGTAAAACACAGCTTTATAAAACATGACTTGCATTTCCCAAAGAAACAAAGCTTATGTAGGAGCAAATCAGGACACAGGCACAACAGCTTTTCTCACTGTTCTCCCAGCAAAACTTAAGTTTAGCCAGTGCAAGGAGGAGGTGGCGATATGTGGTCTATAAATTTTGCTCTCTGTGTTTAAAATTAGACTTTTGACTCCAGCCACTTTGTCACGGCTTGCGGTAAGATGCCAGGGGCCCAAGTTTGTCTCTGTTAATAAAAGCTTACTTTTTTATCCGCCTTTGCACTGTGGCAGCAGCAAAGGATCTATGTCTGGAGCTTCATTTACTAGATGGAAAAACCTCACAAATTTTACCGAGTACAAAGTATACAAGTTGGGCAGAAAGAAAACAGACTGCAAAGGAGAAGATATAAAATGTGGATGAATTTAGGCCTGAGTCATGAGATGCAAAAGCAAAGCATTCTCAGCTCCAAATTCTTTTCCTATTGGAAGACCATGTTTCATGAAATTGCACAAAATTATCAGAAAGAAATGCTCAAGTCTGAAAAAACCTTTTACCCTCCTCACAGGGAATTACTCCTCAGTGGTGGGATAAGGGACCCTTTCTCCAGCAAGACAAGGGGAACTGGACCTGTTTTGCCCTTCCCTTCTAGATTCCCAGTCTCACACCTCCTGGACTCAGCTATGGGTTGGGGGTTTTTTTCCACTCCAAGGGCTATATCACTCTTTACCTAAATGTCTGTTTTTCAGGAACATCATAAAGCAAGTTGGAGAAAGCAGTGAAATAAAAAGCACTAATGCTGGCCCTTTGCACTATCTGTGTCCCACTCGTGCCTGCTGCTGCATGCTCTGCCCACCTTGTGGGACCCATCTCTCTCCTCCCATGTGGCTGCTGGGACTCTCTGGGCAGCCCCGTCTCTGTATCACTCTCCTGTGGCAGAGAAATCCCTTCGGTGACACGAGCTTCAGCATGACATTGACAGGAATCTGGGGCTGTGAAAGACTTTGTGTCAAAGCTTCAGAAACTGGGCTCCTTGTCAAAATTTCTCTGCTGTGAGCATGCAGGGGAATGAAATACAGCGCAGCTAAACTGAAGGAAGCAATGATGCACAGCTGTTTTATTGCCTGGTACAGGTAGGACATTTTTAGGGAATATATTCTGTCTTTTAATGAGCCCACAGCAGAAGGCCCTGCATTTATCTCAGCTGCCAGAATCCTCTCACTCTTTCAGGTTCTTATTATCTTTCTCTATTTCCTTCTCTCTTTGTTTCTAGGCTATGCCTGTTTAAAGCATCTCAGCCCTTTCTTCAGCTCCTAAGCAGTCTTTATAGGTGCCTGTGTTCTCCCCAAGAATTCCTTAATTTGCCGTCTCTGCTCCCTCTTACGGTTGTGGGAAAGTGTGCTGTATTCTCACTTCCCTTTGTATCCAAAGCGAGGAGAGGGAGACATTTCCCAGTGGAATAAATATCCTGCCATGACAGGTTGGTGCAAGGAAGGGACCCCTATGTGGTGGTAAGTGATTTCTAGAATACCTTGTATTTAAACACAGGGGTGCACAGAGCTTAAAGGAAAGCCTGTACCACACAACACGCGATGACTCTTCCATGGGCTCATTTCTATGGTTGTATTTTAAGCGCATGCTACAGATGAGTTTTATGATATTTGCTTGTTTGTGTTTTCTCCTCTGTATTCACATATATTATCTCCACAGCCACTAATTCTTGATATAAATGATGCTAAGCAGTAAAGTATGGTCCATTAACTTGATTTTTAAAAGTATCTAAAATTTACGCAGTGATTTAAATAATAATATAAATTATATTAAGTATGTGCAGCAGCAGAGGGTACGGCCTCCTAAACAGAATGAATTTCTCCTTGGAGAGCACTGATTAGTTCATTTTTCCTAATGAATCTTTTGTTATAGTCAGAAGTTCCTTCTTTTCCCCCTCACTGTCTCACTTATGAAGCATGCATATGTATATATGTATGTTCCATTTATATATTTGATAGCTAGATTAAGTAATATCCTACTTCACCTCCAGAAAGGGCACAGCACTTCTCAAGGAGGCAGCTGCATTTTCTAGGTGGGGGAAACTGAGGCCGAGGCAGCCCATCCATGTGTCCTTGACCTGCTCAATCTATGGGCCGGCCACCTCCAAGCACGTAACCTGTTGCTAAAATACAGTCTGCAGAAAAGTGGATGAATACTGCTGTTTCTCTCAGCGAAATTTACTGTTGAGGCCAATTAGGTGTTACCCATTAAGACTGATGTAGCTATTATTGCTCCCGCTCTGTCAAAAAAGTGCACCAGATGGCTTTGTACTGCCTTCTCCAGCGTCTAGCGATGCCCCTCTGCTTCAGCGCTCCCTCGCTCCACGTATTCACACCATTCTTCCCCAGGGCAGGGTGAAGGAGAGAGAAGTCCACCCATTCCCTCACACGTGCTGTACGTGCTCCTGGAAGACAGGCTGCCATCTGGCCTAATGAGCTTTGAAACAAACTGCCTTTAAGATAAC